TCACACTGTTATAGCCACCTCTCAGGCATCCCCCACTAGCATGTCTTTTGCTCTCTCAGTCTGTCCTCACCACATGGCTAATGTGTCAACCTCTGGCCCAGGACAGAGAATCAAGAATGCTGATCTCATTGATTTATTTAATTTTTTACATCTCCCATGGTGCTTTGAGGTTATGGCAAGGAATATTAAGCATATTTGGCAGTTGGTGAGTTTTGAGTGCTTGCCAAGTATCCTCTAAGTTCCACCTTCCCCTTGGAAAAACAACCCAGCCCTCGGGGGACACCCTGCCAAAGCATTCCCTTGTTGCTGAAAACCTGGGGTGAGCTTGAGCTCTGCATGGATGTGACCAGGGATGTGCCTGGTAGGACAGGCACAGCACAAGTGACTCTACTTCCCATCTTAATTTTTACAAAAACTCCAGTGAATCACTTCTTAAAGTTTCTATGGCCCCAAACATCCTTTCACTAGGGCCCTGATGTGTGAATAATCTGAATAGTTCTGAGTGCTTCTGGTTTCTTTTTTGTTGGTTGTAGCTAAGCCCAGAATTAGATCAACATTTCCCTTCTGAGCCTCAGACTCTGGGTTTGGACTGCCAAGTTCTGATGCTTGATGATCCATTTGTCTGCAGAGCTTGTAGACACTCCAAAGAAATAACACTAGGAGAAAGGCAGAGTGTCTGTAGTTCCAGGTGCTAGATTCTCTGTGCCAAGACACTTCATGAAGTTCTGCTTTCATCTTATCAAAAATCATAGGGAGGGGCGGATGACAGTGGAGCCTCCCAAAGGGGGACACAGACTAGGACTCTTTATGGAAACGTACCTTCTTTTTCTTTCTGTGTCATAGTGAAGGGAGACCATGGTAGTCTCCAAATTATTGCTTTTCTCTTCAGATTTGACTCTGGGTTCCTTTACTCATGAGCTGTGTGACCTGTCTCTAAATTTCATTTATCAACTTTGCAAAATCATAATGCCTACTTTTCACAGATTTTTTTAAAATCTGGCTAACAACATATTCCTCTAGAACACCTTCCTTCAAAACCCAGGATGGGAGGAAGTGCTAAATTGCCCTTCTGTGTACTCCAATAGTATACCACATACATGCATCAGTCATAACACTTGATACTTTATGCTGAAATGCTACCTACAGGACTCTCCTAGGAATAACCTATGGTTCATTAGGAACAGTGTTTTCATCTGCTGTGTTTCCCAAGGTCCTAGTAGAATTTCTGGCAAATAGTATGCATCACCCACTGAAAATAGACTTCCCTTCTTGAATATCTTTCTTGATAAATGTTACTTGTTTGTTTTTCCTGAAGTGATGGTTCTCATTCTGGTTTTCTTTTTCCATTTAAAAAAAAAAAATACTGACGACTGGAGATATAGCTCAGTTGCCCTGGGTTCAATCCCCAACACCACCAGAAAAAAAAAACAAAACTGGATTTTATTCCATACTTGTGGTGTTCTGGGAAAGCTTAAACTTGGGTGCTTATTTCACATTTATTTCCTTTTCTATTTAAGAGCAGTTTTCAAAAATATATGATTTGGGGGCTCGGGATGTGGCTCAAGCTGTAGCGCGCTTGCCTGGCATGCGTGCCACGCAGGGTTCGATCCTCAGCACCACATAAAAATAAAGATGTTGTGTCCGCCGAAAACTAAACAATAAATATTTATATATAGGGCTGGGGATGTGGCTCAAGCAGTAGTGCGCTCGCCTGGCATGCGTGCGGCCCGGGTTCGAT